CACAGATGAACAGAACCCAGAACCTGAAAAGGAAGCCAACAGCCAACCAATCAGTTCAACTCAAAGCAGGCAAATATCAACAAAAATTATGTTCCCTCAAAGAACAAAAAGCAACAAGAGGATAAGCACTTTAGAAAGTTCCTGGACATTTTAAAACAACTTCACATCAACATTCCTCTAGTGGACGCACTTGAACAGATGCCCAGGTACGTAAAATTCATGAAAGATGTCCTCTCAAAAAAAAAAGGAATAACGGAACATGAGACTGTAAAAATGACACAAGAGAGTTGCCAGTACTTAGGCAGACTCCTCCCACCTAAGCTTCAAGACCCAGGAAGCTTCACCATTCCTTGCATTATAGGAGACGCGTACCAAGGGAAAGCCTTGTGCGATTTAGGGGCCAGCATCAATCTTATGCCCCTATCTGTCTTCAAACAATTATCCACTGGACCAGCTAAACCCACCACGGTGACTTTGCAAATGGCAGACAGATCCATTGTCAAGCCAGAAGGGAAGATTGAAGATCTGCTAGTCAAAGTAGACAAATTTATCTTACCCGCTGACTTCATCATTCTGGATTATGAAGCTAACGTTGACGTTCCCATCATTCTGGGTAGACCGTTCCTAGCAACTAGAGGAGAAATTATCAATGTACAAAAAGGGGAACTAACCATGAGAGTTCATAACGATGAGATCAAGTTCAATATTGTAAAAGCAATAAAGTTCCAGGATGAAGGAGAAAACTTGGAAGAATGTTCTGCTCTCACTTTGTTAGACAATCAGCCTAGCAAAAAAACAGAGGAAGAAGAAGAAGATCCAAATAGGAAGAGCAGAGCTGCTATCAGCAAGAAAGAAGGCTTGAACCTTTGATAAGAACTGAAAAGGAGAAGCAACTCAAAAGACCTTCTTCAGAAAAACCTCCTGATTTAGAACTAAAACCCCTTCCCAAACATTTGAAGTATGCATATCTGGGGAACAACAACACCCTTCCTGTGATCATTTCTTCATTTCTTACCAAGGAACAAGAAGAACTGTTGCTTGACAAGCTCAAAAAGTATCAAGGAGCCATCGGTTGGACCATAGCTGATCTCAAAGGTATCAGTCCCTCATTCTGTATGCATAAAATATTATTGACTGATCCTAACAGTTTTTCAGTGGAACACCAAAGAAGATTGAACCCTATAATGAAAGAAGTGGTGAGAAAGGAAGTCATCAAATGGCTGGATGTAGGGATCATATACCCAATATCTGACAGCAGTTGGGTAAGTCATGTCCAATGTGTCCCCAAAAAGGGAGGCATAACAGTGGAGAAGAATGAAAAGAATGAGCTGATACCTATAAGAAAGGTTACAAGATGGAGAATCTGCCAAGATTACAGGAAGCTCAACAATGCCACCAGGAAGGACCATTTCCCACTCCCTTTTACAGATCAGATGCTGGACCACCTAGCAGGAAAAGAATACTTCTGCTTCCTTGATGGATATTCGGGGTATAATCAAATTGCCTTGGCACCAGAAGATCAACATAAAACCACCTTCACCTGCCCGTATGGAACGTTCGCTTTTAGAAGGATGCCCTTCGGGTTATGTAATGCACCAGCAACGTTCCAGAGGTGTATGTTCTCAATCTTTTCTGATCTAATAGGTGAAGGAGTAGAAGTCTTTATGGATGATTTTTCAGTACTGGGAACGTCATATGATCACTGCTTGGACAACTTAGAAGAAGTCCTTCAAAGGTGTATGTCCTCTAATCTAGTGCTCAATTGGGAAAAATGCCACTTCATGTTGAAAGAAGGAATAGTCCTGGGACACAAGATTTCCAGAGAAGGACTGGAAGTGGATCAAGCCAAAGTAGAAGCTATAGCAAAAATACCGCCACCAGTAAGTGTAAAAACCTTGAGATCTTTTTTCGGGCATGCAGGCTTTTACAGAAGGTTTGTTAAAGATTTTTCCAAAATAGCTAGACCTTTGTGCCACTTATTAGAAAAAGATATAAAATTTGAGTTTAACTCTGATTGTGTGAAAGCTTTTGAATCTTTGAAAAATAAGCTCATCACCACGCCTGTCATCCAACCTCCAGACTGGAACTTACCCTTTGAACTAATGTGTGATGCAAGTGATCATGCTATTAGAGTAGTTCTGGGCCAGAGGAAGGACAAACTTTTTCGTAGCATATACGCCAGTAAAACTCTAAATGAAGCTCAGGTGAACTACACAGTCACTGAAAATGAGCTATTGGCTGTAGTATATGCTTGTGAAAATTCAAGCCTTACATTTTAGGATCAAAAGTTACTGTCCATACTGACCATGCAGCTCTTAAGTACCTCTTCTCGAAAAAGGAAGCAAAACCAAGATTGATAAGATGGGTCCTACTGCTGCAAGAGTTCAATCTAGAGATCAAAGAAAGAAAAGGATGTGAAAATCAAATTGCAAATCATCTGTCCAGATTGGAACACATTGAAGTGGGGCTACCAATCAAGGAAACGTTCCCTGACGAACAATTTCTTATCATTAATCACATAGAGACAAATGCTCCTTGGTTTGCTAATATAGCCAACTTCCTTGCAGCAGGGCTGGAACCTTATGAGGCGAATAAAATGCAGAAGAAGAAATTTTTTCACGATTGCAGGAACTAGCTCTGGGACGAACCACTACTGTTCAGAAGATGCACAGACCAAATGATAAGAAGGTGCGTCCTAGAAGAAGAACAGCCTCAAATCCTTCAACACTGCCATTCGTCCCCATATGGAGGACATCTAGGTGGAATCAGGACTGCCTCCAAGGTTCTTCAATCAGGTTTCTTCTGGCCTTCCCTTTTAAAGATGCACTTCAATATGCAAAAAATTTCGATAAATGTCAAAGAGAAGGTAACTTAACTAAACAAAATGAAATTCCTGATAACTCATAGTTTATTACACTTATTTGTTACTCTTGATTAGTATTTTTAGGATTTATTTGAATAAAATAATGATGTTTTGAGTTAATTTACATTTTTAGTGTTTGATTGAGTTTAATTTATTTTCGTCAGAATTTTTCAGCTGTACTTCTGTATTTTGGCCATATCTCGGTCCACAATTGTCGGATTGACTCCGTTCTTATTGGGTTTTTCAGATAACACAGAGAGCTACAATTCTTATGAAGAGCTCGAAGCCCAATTCGGACTGGAATCTGGTTGATTTCTGACGCCACGTATAACGTGTTTTGCGGAAGTTTTAGACTTGTAATTTAAAACCCAATTACATAAGTGGCCCAAAGCCAAGTTTTATTTTATTTTATTTTATTTATTTTATTTCGCACTTTAGATAGATGGTCCGATCAGAACTGAACCCTAACCCGCTTTGGGTAGGGGTATATGACGGCAGAGTAGAAAACACTTGACTCATTCTGAATTTTCGTATTTTGGGATCAAAGCACTTTCTCTAGAGCGTTCTTCGCGTTCTTCATCTTTTTCTTCTTCTTCTTTTTATTTTATTTTAATCATGTTTACCTTAGCCATGCGAGGCTAAGAACTTTTTAATCAACCTAAGGGTAACGGATTCCATGGATTAGTCTTGAGCGTCTGCGCTTTATTGTAAATCAATTTTGTTTCCCTTCCCAACTCAGATTGATATCGTGCGATCGTGGGTATTCAATCTGAGGTTCACGATTGCGATTATGGAAAGGGATTAATCATCAGATTTGATGATTAAATTGATTGACCCTATGACCTTAAATCAATCGGGCTGATACTCTACGACTGTATAAGTAGAAGCACCGTATTTGATCAAATGCTAAGCGATCGCTTAGAAAGGGTCGTCAATTGGAAATAAGGATTCTGATTCAATTGACAATCAATCACGATTCTGACATTTTTTATCCGAGGAAAGACGTCCATGGAACCCTATCCTTAGGTTGGTTAATTTTTAATTACGAATTTTTATTCCAAATTTATTTTCTGCCTTTTTAATTATTCAATCAAAATCCAAAACCCCCATTTTAATTTTCTGTCAGCATAAGCGATTTTTACCAAAACAATTTCCTTGAGAGACGACTTAGGGTTTCCACTTTACTACAAATTTTATGAACCCTAATAAAAAAATAATTTTTAATTTGCGCGAGTTCGACAGTCGTGTCAATGCCCCTCAATCCGATCCTAGAAGTTGAATTATTTGATGTTTGGGGCATTGATTTCATGGGACCTTTTCCTCCTTCGTGTGGGAACAAATTCATATTAATGGCTGTAGATTATGTAAGCAAGTGGGTAGAAGCAGTTGCTTTACCCACTAATGATGCTAAGGTGGTTATAAATTTTTTAAAGAGGAACATATTAACCAGATATCGAACCCCACGTTGTCTTATCAGCGACGGAGGGAAACATTTCATCAACCGCCAACTTGAGAGGTTGTTGGAGAAATATGGAGTCAAACACAAAGTTGCAACCTCATATCATCCACAAACCAGTGGTCTCATTGAAGTCTCTAACCGAGAGGTTAAGAGAATTTTAGAGAAGGTAGTTAATCCTTCTCGAAAAGACTGGTCTCAAGTTAGACGAGGCTTTATGGGCTTACAGAACAGCATACAGATTGAAATTTGGCAAAGCTTGCCACCTCCCCCTCGAACTGGAGCACAAGGCTTACTGGGCAGTCCAAACCCTCAACATGGATGAAAAAAGAGCTGGAGAGAAGAGATTGCTGCAACTCGAAGAATTAGAGGAGTTCAGAGGGAACACATACGAAAATCATAAATTATACAAGGAGAAGATAAAGAAGTGGCACGATAAAAGGATCAGGAACAGAGATCTCAAAATCGGTCAGAAGGTGCTACTCTTCAACTCCAGACTTAGACTGTTCCCGGGTAAACTCAAATCAAGTTGGACCGGGCCATATCAAATTATTAACGATGCAGTAAATGGAACTTTTGAAATCCAAGGTTCAGAACATGGCCGTTCCTTCAAGGTAAATGGGCACAGGTTGAAACTATACAATGATGAAACCTTTGATGAAAAAGAGGAAAGTACCCCTCTTTCTGAAACCCCTTGAGAGGTAAGTACCATGTCTAGCTAAAGACATTAAACTAAGCGCTGACTGGGAGGCAACCCAGTAGATACATTTGCTCTCTGACAAAGAGCAAAGTTTTGGGGTGGTTATCCATAACCACATAGCTCCCAAAAAGGAGGGAACGTCTGATGTTTCTCTCCAAAAAGTCCAAATAAAGTACATTCCGTTCCAGGAACGTAGTTTTGGGATGGTCCCTGACCACACAATCCCAAAATATATATATAAATATATATATATAATATCTTAGCTTAGTTTATTTTCAGTTCTGTTTTAATTTCTTTTCCTTTCCGTTCCCTTGTAATTAATCTTTTTTGCAATGAAAAAGACTTTTTGATCAAACTGCTTGGTATATGCATGTATTTCAGTTATAGTATTAAGATTGCCCAATTCTTTTGGATTAACTAACATACATGAAACACAAAGTCACTGACTAATCGTGCTTGTTCTTTCTCTGAGTACTTGAAAATAGAAACAGTGCAGGGAATTTAATCCTCAGATTTTTGAAAGAAGCTGATCTGTGTGAACTCAAATAGGTAAGGAACGGAAAAATGCCAAACACCTACTTCTGAGAGCATTCCTGAGGTGTAACCACAATTAAACTTCTCAACTTGCCTTAATGCTGTAAGTACTGCTGAAGACAGATGAATTCTGCTGTCAAGGATCAAAACAGAATCACACACTCACCTCACCTCCATTATACACCATCTGGTCAATCAGAAAGAACAAGGAACGTACTCAACAATGAACAAAAAAGGGACAGAAGAAAAACAACGAAAAAGGGGAACAACCATTCAAAAGAATTCAAGAAAAACCAGAAAACCTTCCTCCAAAGGGG